TCCTTTGCCATCCCACTCCCATCCGCATGGGGTGGCCTTCCCAGAAATGGCCTTGCGCTGCTGTCCCACAGAGAGTCCACTGTGCTACCTGCCCCAGGTAGAGTATGAGGTGCTTTCCATCCCAAGTGAATAATTCCCCGGTTAAGGCTCCATTGGGCGCAGATCTGATAGGAAGAACAGTTTAGTAATCATAGAGCAGAAGTTCCAGAGCGCACAATTGGTAGAGTAGGATAGAGACAGGAGAGGAATCACGTTAACATGCATGGATATGAGGGAGGAAGAAGGGACACTTTTGGCCTCAGTAGCTTAAGGATCAGAATTACCAGGATTCTGAATGGAGCCATAGAACAGTAAATTGTCTCATTCTCTCATAGAAGCAGTGATACCATGGATTTGATGATTCCTCTCTGAGCAAGAGGTGGGTAAGGTTAGGGAGCAGGGCTAGTCCTGTCTGATTATCAAGGCAGCATTCAGTGGGATCTCTGAATCATCTAATTTGAGAGTTAGAGGACACTTCAGTAGCCATCTGAATAGCCAATCTGCTGTTCAATATTTCAGTCGTTGCCGATTCTCCAAGACCCCATTTGGGGTTTTCTTGGCAGAGATGCTGGAGTGGTTTGCCATTTCCATCTCCAGCTCATTTTACAAATGAGGAAACTGAGGCAAACAAGGTTAAGTGACTTGCCCAGGGTCACACAGCTAGTAAGGAAGATGAGTCTTCCTGATTCTAAGCCCAGGGCTCTATTCACTGCCACCTGGCTTCCCTATCTACTCTGACACATATTCAAAAGGAATCCCCAATATAATGCACCTGAGAAGGGGTTATAGTTGCTCATAAATCACAGCTTTTGAGCTGAAAGACCCTAGAGGTCCTTAAATTCAAATCTCCATATTAAAGGTAGCCATCTGTAAGAGATGGATATTTCTTCTTCAAGCCTTCTCCTCCAGCAGGGAGACTGAGGGTCTAGAAGGGTGACTTATATGTCATTTGGGTGCTCACCCTCCGATCTTCAGCCAGATAGATGGCCTTTAAGACCCCTCGGGCTCTGGATGTATGAGCCTATGATGTTTTAACTACACCAGGAGTTTTTAACCTTTATTTCATCATGGACCCATCTGGCAGTCTGTGAAGTCAATAGGAATCTTCTCAGAATCATATATTTTAATTCATAACTGGAGGCAATGTGAAGTTAGTGAAAATAATGATGCATTCTCTTTCCATTCAATTTCATGAGATCCCTGAAATCCATCCCCAGACCCCCGGCTTAAGAACTCAAGGACTAAACAATCTCTTAAATTCCCTAACATCTTCAGAATCTAAGCTCCAATGAATTGCATTGCAAGGGAAATTCTCCACCAGATTCACCGAGTCTGGGCCTCTTGAATTTGGACCAACTTTTTAGCCTGTCTCTTCTGTCGAGCTCAGCTCACACGCTGCCTGGGCTGCTGTGTCGGGGTTTGCCCTTCCCACGGCAGCTGGAGAGGGCACTCTGCCCTCCATCCTGAGCCCCAGACCCCTTCTGTGGGTGCTGCCAAAGGCAGCTTTGTCTCACTCCAGGGGCACAACTGAAGGGCTATAAAAGGTCACCCTTCAGCAGACAGACAGATGTTCCTAGTGATGTGTATCCCTAAAACTGAGGTTCTCAGACAGAGCTTGGGGCAAAGCAGACAAGACGGACCAAAAAAAAAAGCAGCATTTTCCCTGTTTCCTCCCACCTCCCTGCATGGAAGTAGGTGGGGAGGAGAGGAGAGAGAGGCAGGAGGCCCTCAGAGCACCTACCCAGAAGTTATAGACTGAAAACAGGAGGTGGCCAAAGGACGACCAGAATGCAGATTACTTCTCCCCATGATGGAGGATGATGAGGGTAGAGAAAGAAGTTTCCCATGGAGGTGCTGGTCCACTGGACTCCCAGATATAAAGCCAAGGTCAAGGCTTGAGTAGGCTTTTGCCTGGGGTTCACCCAGACAGGTGCCAGCTCTGGGATGGACTGAGGCTAACTGGACCCTACCCCCTACCCCTCATTCCCCACTAAGCCCAGGGCTTCTGTGCCATTTACACTGTGTTGGCTGCCGATGGAGTGTGACATTGGACATAAGGAAAGCAGAGGTAGTTCTTTTTCTTTCTTTTAAAGGCACAGTAAGGAAGGAAGAAAAAAAAAAAAAATATATATATATATATATATGTCACAACTGAAGTTAAATAAATGATGAAGAAAAAATCCCAAATGTTGAAGGAATCCTTTGCTCCCACCAAAGAGAGAACATGGTTTAGTGGAGAAAAGACTAGGCATGATGGAGTCAGGAAAATCTCAGTTCAAATCTGACTTCAGATCCATACTAGATAATCTAATAATAATAACAATAATAATAATAATAATAATATCAGTTTAGTTCTTCAAGGCTTGTAAAGTGTTTTACGTATTATCTCATTTTATCCTCACATCAACCTTCAAATATTGGTGTTATTATCCTCATTTTTACACAAGAGGAAACTGAGGAAGATAAAGGCTAAGTGGCTCATCCAAGGTCATACAACCAGAGAGTGCCCACTGCAGGGCTCTATCCACTGCCCTATCTAGCTGCTTCTCCGAACCTCGGGTTCTTCATCTGTAAGATGGGGGTGAGGAAGGCCAGGGGAGAGAATACCATGACCTCTGAAGTCCTTGAGATTCTGAGACAGGCCATAGATTTGGAGTCAGAAGACCTGGGTTCAAATCCTATGTCTGCTGTTTACTTTGTGACTCCAAGCAAGTTTTGGGGTCATCCTCTCCTCTTCTGTGAAATGAGGGGACTGGACTTAATAACACCTGGTATCCTGTGAGTTATGCCCAGTTGGACAAATTCCTGCAGCTTGCATTGTGACCCCAAAGATCTCCCCCGAAGCTGTGTTTAAACATCACAGGCTTTAAATGTGATACCTCCTATGGGCTAGTTTGTAAAGACCCTCAATATAGTCAGAGTGGGCCTTAAATGAGGAAACTGAGACCCAGAGAAAAGCGACTTGCCCACAATCATACACGTAGTAAGAGAACAAGGCTGGATTTGAGCATCTCTTGTCTCCAACCCTAGTGTTCTTCCCATAACGCTCTTGAATGAGAAGGCTGTTTCCATTTTATTTTCTTGACCAGGTGCACTGTGGAAGAAGTACTAAGCACCTAGATGGCCCAATGGATAGAAGTCTGCATTTGGAATCAGAAAGACCTGAGTTCAAATTCAGCATCAGATGTTTACTATATGTGTGACCCCAAGCAAGTCATTTAACCTCTGGTTGCCTCAGTTTTCTCAGTTGTAAAATGAGGATAATAATAGCACCTACCTCCCAAGGTTGTTGTGAGGATCCATATGCAAAATGCTTTGCAATCTATCCATATGTGTGTGTATTTATCTACCATCTATATCTACATATCTGTATGTATATATACATATGTAGCACAACACTATATAAATGCTTATTCCCGTACACTGAGCAATGCCCCCCCAAAAGAGTTCCTGTTTCCTTGATCCCTCGTTACCATCCCTTTGAAATGCTGTTACCACCTGATGTATTCTGAACAAGGGTCAACCTCACCTTCTGCCTTAGAGACACCACCCCCGACATGCTTCCAATAGACATTTGACTATTCCAACCTTCAATGCCATGTGGAAAGAGAGCCACACACCAGCTCTGAGGAAGAACTTTCCCGTAGGTTATAGCTCCTTAAGGACAGGGACCGGTTTTCTGGTTTAAGCTTTGGCTTTGTTTTGTTTTGTTTTGTTTTGTTTCTCTTTTTTTGTCTTGGGACCCTCAGCATCTAGCACAGTGCCCAGCACATAGAGGTTGCTTCGTAAATGCCTCCTTAATTCTTTGTATGAGACTGTAAGCTATTTTAGAGCATGGATTTTATGTTACCTATGTTCCCAGCACTTGGCATAGAGCTTGGCACGTAGTAGGCTCTTTACAAATGTTGATTAACTGCTGATTAATTGAATTACAGCGTCACGCAGTCACAGAATATAACGACACTTAGCTATTATCTAGTTCAACTCCCTCCTTTTACAGAAGGAGAAACTGAGAACCAAAAGCATGATATGACTTCATTAAAATCTCACAGCATGGAAGTTTCAGGGCCAAGATGTAATGTACACACCTGGAGCAAAAATAGGAGCAGGGGTCATAGAGACGCAGAGGACAGTCCCACCGTAGGTTCCAGGGGAAGGGGCAGTGTGATTCTTATTCTCTTAAGGGTAGGAGGAAAGGCGGCCCACAAGAGGGTCTCAGTAGCAATGACAGCCTGGGGGAGTGGGAATAGCCTGGGCGGGATTATGTGATTCCAACATTCACAGGGGAGAGAACTCTTGCCTTCCAGGGAGGACAAGCTATCTTATACACTTATCATGTCAGCAGCCTGGGTAAAAACCCAGGTCACCATGTCAGTTACAGCTCTGCTCCTGGTTCCCTAACTGGGGCTCTTTACCTTATACCACACTGCTTTTCCAGCTCACCTCCATATTTTATTTTGTTTTCATAATAAATTCTTGGGAATCAGTTGGAATTTAGACAATATCAAAAAAACTTAATATCCTCTTGCCTGGCTATAAGTTCTGACTGACAGTCTTTCTTCCATAGGCTCTTCAATCCTCCAACTAAGGGGACGATATCAGTCTCAGGGTTCTTCGATGATGACTATTCATTCATCAAATCTCTACCATGAGCAAGTATATCCCACCATGGGGGAATATGAAGATTGCCCTCCAGGAAATTAGAGTCCAACAGATAATCTCAAAATCACTGAATCCCAGCTTTAGAGCCATTCAAACGCCATTCCTTTACACCACTTGTATTTACCAAAACCATCACTTTACAGATGTAGCCTATGGAAGTCACATGACTTGATTGGATCACATCTTGGAACAGAGATCTATAGTTAAAGGGATCTCACAAACTGACTTCAATATCTTCATTTTACAGATGAGTAAACTGAGGCACAGAGCTATTTCATGATTTGGGTTTTAATCAAATAATTTCTTGATACATTTCAGTATCATTGGCTGCACTTGGGTATCTGTGTTGGGGCTCCTGCCACATCTGTCCTTAACGGCCATCATGCTCTTAAAAGCTGTCAGTTTCCCAGTGACATGAGTGCATCCTTCTTGTCATTTCTCCCCATCCCCACAAACAGCAGCCTAAAGATATCAGAGCGCTCAATTAGAAGAAATCAGCCAACATCGAGCCTCCCACCTCTTAGGTTATAAACATACTTTATAAACCCCATGAAGGCTGTAATTAAATTTACAAGTGGACTTCCCCACAACTTTAACAAAAGATGTCTGAATGTGTGTGTGTGTGTGTGTGTGTGTGTGTGTGTGTGTGTGTGTGTGTTAAAGTCATGTTCTGGGATGATTATAGCTCCCCTGCTGCTTGGGAAAGATAGTTTCACTTGTAACACTAATAAGTTAAGCAGGAGAGATGCCTGGCCTGGTGAATGGAATGCACTTCACTGCACATCTTGGCTCAGTTGGAAATCGGAAACAGATGGTCCTTGCGGCTGGCTTCCCACTCGAGCTCGCTCGGTGCCAGCCCGTGGTCTTCGGCGGGTTGCTGCTGGCACTCTGTGACTTGAACATAGTAGGACAGTGGCAAAAGAAATCAAATCTTTTCCATTGAGCAGCAAGCTGAAATGAAATTGGACAGATCTGACATTCTATCCTCGACAATGAGTTAGAATATATTAACCTTTTCATTTTTTTAAAAGCGCCTCACTCACATAAGTGATGAATACACTTATCATAAAGTTAAAAGGAAGATTCTTCTTGCGGCAAAGAGGATGGAGAGGTTAGGGTTATGATTTGTTGTCCTGGATTCAAATCCTGGCTACCTGTTTCTTTGGCCAAACCACTTTCCACTTCAGGACTTGGTTTCCCCTGATACAAAGTGGGGGAAATTGATGAAACAACCTTTAGCTCAAAATCCACATTATAGTCCTGGGTCATGTTCCACTGGTTAGCTGAAGAGATGGGATTTCCCTCAGTGGAAGGGAAACTCAAGGAGAGCTGTATATGGGACCTGGAGTCAGGAAAACCTGAGTTCAAATCCTACTTTGGATACTTCCTTGCGGCATGACCCTGAAGAAATCACCAAATTTTGCTCAGCATCAGTAAAATGGGGTAACAATGGCACCTGCTTCCCAGAGTTGTTATAAAAGTCAATCAAGATAACACGTAAAAAGTTCTTTGCCAACCCTAAAAGCAAGCTATCATCGTAATTATTGTTATTATCATCATTAGTCAGGCAAACAGGGTCCCCATCTGGCTCTGACATGGTCCACCCGTGTGACCTTTGGCAAGCAAATTAACCTCTCTGGGCCTTGCTTTCTTCAACTTGAACCCAAGAGGGCAGAGCCAGGTGACCTCTAATGGTCCCTTTCAGCTGTAAGTCTATGACATAGCCATCCCACAAACCATCTCTAAACGGAAATAAGAATAGAATCCTACCGACATTTCTCCCAAAAAGTAAAATCTGCTCTTGCAATGTCCTGCCAGTGGGTTTGTATTAAAATTTTAAAAATCAGGGTTTCCCTTTGGAAGGAAACACCGGTAGCAAAATCAAGGGAAAACTGCCGCTTGTCAGGAAAATGGAGGGGGATGGCACAGGGAGCTGGCTTTGCGCGGGGTTCCGTCGCTCCAGCTTTGTCGATCTTCCCTCCCCAGGGTGGCGGGAGCCAGCGAATCCCCTGTGCCGTTTCTCAGTCTTCTTTTCATCCAGCCTCTTGTCCTTTGGCATTCCTGATGAAGGATGTCCTCAGGAGCCGACAGGTTCCTAGGCATCAGACGGCCGGCACCGACAAAGCAGGTGTTAAAAAGACGTCCTCCCTCGGACCTCCACATCTCTGTCTTCTCCGAGCCTAAAAGGGAACGACGGTTCTGGGCCGGCTTCCCGTCTTCAAATGCTCTTCGTGCACTTATGAATGTTTATTTCCAAGAGTACGGCAGGGAAAGTGGAGAACCTCAGGACATCATTGCAGGCATGAAAGGGCTCTCCAAAACCATCCAGTCCAACCCCGCTGTCTCCCCAAAATAAGAATCCCAATGCAACACAGCTGAGTAGTATCCTGCCTTCCCTTGAAAATCTCCTGGGAGGGAGAAACAAGCACCTACTAAGGCATCCCATTCCACTTCAGAAAAACGTCAATCAAAAAATAAATAAAATAATTTTTTAAAAAAAGAAAAACGTCAATTCTCAGTAAGCTTTTCCTGACAGTATGACTCAGTTTGCCCTTTTGTGACTTCTGCCCCTTGTGTCTGGTACTGCCCTCTGGGTCCAAGCAGAACCAACCAAATCCCTCTTCCAAGTCAAGTCAAGAAGCATTTATTAAGCACCTACTATTTGTCAAACACTGTGCTAAGTGCTGGAGATACAAAGAAAGACCCAAAACAGCCCCAGCCCACTAGAAGCTCACAATCTATGGGGATACAACATGTAAAGACCCCGTGCCTAAAGGACACAGGGAAAGCCTTCCAAATACTTGAACAGAGCTCTCCCAGCCCTAAGAACCTTCTCTTCTCAAGGCTACACATCTATAGTTACTTCAATCCATAGATATAAGGAATGGTCTCAAGGTCCTTCACCATCCTGGATGCCCTCCCTGACACTCACCAGTCAATTAAAGCACTTTTTAAAACACAGTGTCTATAAGAGGGAAATGATAAAGCAATGATCTGATTAGGGAAGGAGGCAGAGGGACCATTACCCCCTTACCCCTGGACTCCATGCCCTGTTTAATATATTCAGGATTTTCCAGCAGGATTAAGGCTAAGGAAGACAGGCTACTAAGAGGATAACATCCTGTTCATAAACAGAGCTGATATTTCTTTTAGTAGAAATGAAATAACCTCCCTTGGAAGCCAGAACTGGAGAGATTTGGGTTTTCGGTTCTAGGAAGTCCACGGTTGTGAACTTCCAGGTTTACAAATGCCCAGTAAACTAATCCTTGATGGCTTCTCAGGTCTTGTAGCTGTTCTACTAAAAGTAAATAATTAATTAAAAAACAAACCAAAAACAACCAATTGATCTCACTTTCTTCAGTACTACTGAGATCCAAGATTTCATCAGTGTGAGCGTTCCAGCATATGGACTGAAATGACAGTCTTGAAAGTCAGGAAAACTGGATTCAGGTACTTCCTCAGGCACATTAGCTGTTACCCTGCTCAAACGATTTAACTTTCCTGGTCTTCTCTTTCCTTCTCAGGAAAATGAAAATAATGATAGCAGATGCATCACAGGGCAGTTATGAGGCTCATGAGTTAATAAACCTTAAATGCTACAGAAATGTCAGTGACCAGGAGTAGCAACACAGATCACAATCCCCTCTACAGCTTAATGAAGACTCTGAGTGATGGTGGCCAAAAGGAGTGTGCCCTGCAACCAATCTGATAATGAGCTGAGTGGCTCCTCAGAACTTGAACCCCCAAGCAATCAGTCAACAAAAAGGCTTTCCAGCTCACATTCTAAGGCTCTGCAAGCTCTCTGAGGGCAAAGCCTGTTTCTTTTTTGTCTTTGTGGTCCCAGAGATAACAATTGCTATTCTACTGTAAAGCTCTCCATGTGTCTTACATGTATTATCTCATTGGACCCTTACAGCAACCCTCTAAGGTGGGTGCTATTATTATCTCATTTTACATTTGAGGAAATTGAAACTAAGAGAGGGTAGATTTCTCTGACACAGCTAGTCAGAGGTCTTCCTGACTCCAAATCCAGTGCTCTATCCACTATGCCACCTAGCTACCTGAACACAGTAAGAACTCAATAAATGCTTATGGATGGATTGATTGATGACTGAGTGACAGGAATTTTCAAAGCTTTTGATCTATTTGCACCATTTTCAAGAAGCCAGGGTCACAGTGAAGAATCTGAGGAAGGATTCAGGAGTCACTGTGGTATTGTGGCCCCTTCTTATTTTTCCAGCCTTTTTATACCTTCCTGTGACACTAGCCTCCTGGCCATTCTTCAAACATGGCACTCCACCTCCCAACCCCAAGTGTTTTTATTGACTGTCCCTCATATTGCAAATGCCTTCCCTCCTCATCCCCATTTCCTGACTTCCCTTCAAGTCTCAGCTAAAGCCCTATCTTCTGCAAGATATCTTTCCCAGTCCTTCTTAATCTTAGTGTTTTCTCTCTGAGACTACCTCTAATTACTCCTGTTTATATATTGTTTGTAGGGCAGCTAAGCAGTGCCATAGTGCACAGAGCACCAGGCCTGGAGTCAGGAAGATTCCTCTTTCTGAGTTCAAATACAGCCTCAGACACTCACTAGCAATGTGACCCTGGGCAAGTCACTGAACCTTGTTTGCCTCCGTTTCCTCAACTGTAAAATGACCTTAGAGAAGGAAATGGCAAACCACTCCAGTATCTTCGCCAAAAAAACCCCAAATGGGGCCATGGAGAGCTGGACACGATGGAAGTTACTGAACCATATCTTGTTTGTATATAGTTGTTTGAATGTTGATTCTCCCTTTGGACTGCGACTTCCTAGAGAAGAAACTGGTCCTTCCTTTCCCCTCTCTTCCTTTCTCTTCCCTTTCATTCTTCTTCCTTTCCCTTCCCCTTTCCTCCTTTTCCTTTGCTTTTTTCCTTTCCTTTCCTTCTTGTATTACTTTCCTTTTCCTCTTTTTCTTTCCTTTTTTATCCACTGTGCTTAATATAGTACCTGGCACAGGGTAGGCACTTCAATAAATGTTAATTGATTGGCTAACTGACTATTAGATTTTGAATCAGAAAACGAGTTCAGATCTCAGCTCTGCTACATAGGAAGGCTAAAAGAGAACACTGTAATACAAACAAGGATTATAAACCACCAGCAATTCAATTGGATGAGCAACTACTGCCTTGTGACCTTGGATAAGTCACTTTACTTCTCTGAGACTCAGTTTCTCCAGTTTTGAGACTTAAATGAGGAGTTAGGATTAGAGGACATCTCGGAACACTTCCACCTCTAAGTTCATGATTCTCTGATCCTGTGATTTACTGTAAGAGTTGCATTAATTTATTGACTGGTCAGGGTGATAGGTCCTCTTCAGAAAGTTTCTCAATGGTCCTGACACTAAAGTTTCCAAGATCAAAACTGTTCTGTATTTCAAAATGTTATTTCCCATCCTTCCCCATCACAAAAGAGCTTCCCATCCCCACCCAGAAAAACAAATCCAAGTCATTCCTAAATTTGCTTCAGAGCTCCAGGTTTCCCAAGTGCATTCATGCACATTTTCTCTTCCAAGCAACCTTGTGGTAGGACAAGACTTATTACAGATGTTTTGATGTTGTCCAGTCATGTCCGACTCTTCATGACCCTCATTTTTTTGGGAGGAGGAGTTTCTTGGCAAAGATACTCAAGTGGTTTGTCAATTCTTTCTCCAGCTTATTTTACAGATGAGGAAACTGAGGCAAACAGGGTTAAATGACTTGCCCAGGGTCATGCCACTGGTCAGTATCTCAGATCTTCGAACTCAGATCTTCCTACCTACTGATGTTTTACCAATGAAGGCCAGAGAAGTGAAGGGAGTTTCCTAAGATCACACAGCTCATAAGCAGACAAGTCTGCATCTGCACAAGGGGCTCCACCATTCTTTCCACTAGAGGCCATCATCTCTCCCATATATCAAGTAGCAGACTTGACTAGA